CCCCCTGCTGCTGCTGCGGGTGCAACTGCCGCGGTTGCTGCAGCAAATGCAGCAGCAGCAGCAGCAGCAGCAGTGTGGGGTGCTGCTGCGCTGCTGCTTAGGGTCTACGGCCATTTTTGTGGAGAGAATTCCCTGCAGCAAATTCCGAGCAGCAAAGAAGGGTTTGGGAATGAGCTGCGAGCTGAGGTGGATTTTCTTTTTAAAATTAATTAATTTATTTTTAATTAACTAATTAATTAATTAATTAGCTAATTAATTAATTAATTAAATTAATTAATTAATTATTTAACTAGTTAATTTGAAGTTTAATTTGTTTTAATGGCTTATTTACATGCAAGGGGAGGGGGCAGCAGCAGAGAGAGAAACAATTGGAGAAAGAGAGACAAAATGAGGCACAAATCCTCTAAACCCTAAACCCTAAACCCTAAACTCTTGAAGAGGGAGCGCCTCCTCAGCTGCAGCCCCCGCCGTGGAATCTAGGGTTTAGGGTTTAGGGTTTAGGGTTTGCTGCTGCTTCAGGTGGGCCCTCTCAGCCAGGGGGGCCCCAGTGGAACTCCCTTTGTCTTCTCCAAACCCTCAGCAGCAAACCCTAAAGCGCTGCGCCCTTTGTCTGGAGCAGGGAGAGGCCCCCAAGTAAACCCTAAACCCGAAGCCCTAAACCCTAAACCCTAAACCCTAAACCTAAAGCCTAGGCCCCGCACAGCCCCGTGGCAGTGCGAGCGACGGCACACGCGTCACGCGCCGCTCCTAGCTGCTACTCTTGGTCTTGCTGCTGCTGCTGCTGCTGCTGCTGCTGCAGGTGGGTGCCTCCTTCTGAGACATGGCTGTTCTCGCCGTCTGGCGCTGCAGCGCAAATTGCAGCAGCCGAGGTGTACGTACGCCGCAGCAGCAGCAGCAGCAGCAGCAGCAGCAAGTTGGATGTCTCTTTGCATTCCTTTGGCCTGCCGGTGGAGCTGCTGGGGGTCCCCCAAAGATCCCCCCTGCAGGCGGGGCCCCCCACTCCCCTGTCCCTCTGGGGGCCCCACTGGGGGCCCCCCTCCCGTTTCAATTTGCTGCTAAACTTCAAGTTGGGCCCCTACAAGGGGCCCAACTTGTCCCTAGTCCGTTCTTTCTGGAACCACGGGGGGCCCCCCCCGGGAGGCCCCACGGGGGCCCCCACAGGGGCCCCCACAGGGGCCCCCACGGAGGCCCCCGTAGGGCCCCCCAGAGAGGCGCATGGGGAAGGGGCCCCTCCGGGAGAATCTGCTGAGGGCCCCTCAGCAGATTCTCCAGGGGCCCCCACGGGGGCCCCCTTAAAAGGGCATCCAGGGCCCCCCCAAGGGGCCCCCGCAGCAGAGCCTAGAGGGGCCCCCCAGGGGGCCCCCTCAGCAGAGCCTGGAGGGGCCCCCCAAGGGGCCCCCCTTGGGGGCCCCCTTGGAGGCCCCCAAGGGGCCCCCTCAGTAGAGTCTGGAGGGGCTCTTTCTGCAGATTGTGAGGGGTCCCCCGAAGAAGTTTCTGCGGGGGCACCCCGGGGGGCCCCTCCCTCGCCTCTGGGGTGTACAGACACTGCAGAAGCTTTGAGGGAAAACTGGAGGCGCCGACTGGGACATCTTTCTTTCTCTTTGGAAGTGGAAGTTCGTTTAAAGAATAAATGAATAAATAAAAAATAAATAAATAAATAATAGATTTGTCGTTTGTTTTCTGCTGCCCCAGTTTGTTTTGCTTGTGCGGCACTGCTGCTGCTGCTTTGGTAGAGCTGTGTAGGATGGGAGTTGCTGCAGCAGCAGCGGCTGCTGCAGCAGGCGAGCTGCTGCAGCAGCAGCTGCGACT